TAAATTAAATCGTTTTTTCGTGAAATATTTGAGAAACCGATCCAAATAAGGATCGAATCGCAATATTTAGCTAATTTTCCATCGTATCCGACTTTAAGTTCGTTTAATTGCACTTTAATTTAATTGCTCAAAGTTTCTAGCTTTTGATTTCGCGGAATTTTTTCTATTTAGTTGAAGATTAGGCATTCATGTCATGGATAATCTGGTGAGGAGCAGATCTGGGTTCCCTTGTTTGGTTGCCGAGAAAACGTAGGAAAATAAATCTTAATAAAATCCTGGGACTTTTTGCTTTTGTTGGTTTTGTTTCCAGCAAAATGGAAATCTTAGCAACTTATTACTAGATGGAGCCTAAGATCTTGGATCGAATTAATCGTGCACATCTCTCCGGATTTTTGTTCATATTGTAGACTAGATGTTTTGGATGATCGGTATTGTTTGTTCAAGGCATAACTTGCTGAGTGCTTTTGTAGTTTAGCTCTACTAATAAGAATTGTCTTTGCAAGTGTGAGATTGCTTTCTCTTTGTGATGGACTGATATCCTAAATTGTTGTTCAGTTATTTGTAACGGGTGATTATGGCTCTAATGTGACTGATACCGGGGTACCTCTTTAACTTTTTCCGCCATTCTGAAGTTTGGACCTAGTTGTATAGCTAATTATCAAGTCTAGGACGCTTGCAAAAGCCATTTTCTCGTTGGTAGTCCCACTATACCAGATGATGGAATGGCCGCCAATGTTACAATTGTAGTTAATGCTTAAGAGTTATGTCTATTCAAGAGACATTTAGTTATATGTTGATACTTAGCTTGCGTTGATCATTTCATATGTTTACTTTTTGTTATATTCTATTGCGATGCATTATTGCCATGTTGTGGTCTCATCTCTGTGTCGTGGTTATGTATGACAATGTGAGGCCTTCAGCGTCCTTTATTCTTGCATGGTTGCACCCAGTAATGAGATTGCTTTTGTGCAGGAATCACTTTTTGGAATGATTGCTCTTGATCTCTATTGACAGTTATTTTCTCTCCCAAAAAAAAAAATGGAGGATGACAATGGACTTGAACTTAGTTTGGGTCTCTCTTGGGGTGGATCATCTGCCAAAACCAAGGGTAAAAATGGTGCTTCCCCAAATGCTAGAGCAGAAGAAGGTGATAGAGGCAACAAACTAGCGGATGATTTTAAGGACTTTCTTCATGGTGCGGCTCAAAAACAAGAATCTAGTAGTAGCTCTCAAAGAAGTGATTCAGTGAAACCTAAGGAAAACTTCTTCAACGACCTTTCCAAGTCCAGTGTTGATGCAGATGCATCAATGAACTTGAACGGTATAGGAGTCTGGGTTCCAAACAATAACAAGTCTGATGAAACAGAGGAGGAAAAACGGACTGAGGCTAGTAATAAGCGCAAGAATTTGTTTGATGAGATGAACCATCAAAAGAAGCATGAGAGAGAAACTCATTACTCTGATATGCATGACAAGACGAGAGCATCACACATTTCCGTTACAGAAGATGGCTCAACTGCTGAAAATGAAGACGTGGCAGATTCTGAAGTGGAGGGTTCATCCTCAGTGCCGATTTCTCAACATGCTGAGGGCGTCAAGCGATTTGTTGGATCTGGTGACTCTTCTGATGCTCAGAAGGAAGTTCGAAGGTTTGCTGATTCCAATGTTGTCGACCTAAATGGGCAGAAGAGGTTTAATATCTCATCAGAAAATGAATATAAGCTTGGGAATATGGCGTATGGCAGTCCCTTCTCACTGCAATCAGTAAACATGATGAACATACCTTATTCTCTCCCGACGAAGGAATCTAATTCAGTTGGTGCAACCACCACATCAGGACATCCAATGCATGGGATGATGCAGGCGATGCCTACTGTTACTGGTGAACGAACAGGGACTCAACCTGTGAATCCTGGAAACTTGCCAGTTATGTTTGGCTATTCACCTGTCCAGCTCCCAATGTTGGATAAAGATAATTCCTGGGGTGCGATTCCTCATGCTCAACAATTCCATCCTGCCTATGCAGGCAGAAATCCACCAAACTCAGGTAACTATAATATGGATTGGAACTTATTTGTGCACGCTGGACTACAGAGCATGGAAACACCTTACTTTCGTGGTGATGGCACTTACTGAGCGCAACTCTTTATGTTGGATATGTTGATAAATATTTTCCATTTCCATCCATAAACAACAACTCCAGGGCGTTCTTTTGTCAAAAAATTAATAGTGATATTATCAGTGCTGCTTTGACCAAAATAACAGATTCTTATCCTTCTTGTGTTGATGCAGCTATAATGCAAGTCGTTTCACATAATTCACCTGATGTGGCACAATATGATGGGAGGATGTTAGAACGGGCGAGAGGTGATGGCAAACAGAATGTCACTGAAGAGGGTGCATCTTCTCAGGTAGAAGAAGACACAAAAGTAAGTAGCGCGAACCTCGGGATGAAAGATGCACCTGGCCGCCCAACGGCAGAGGACTTATCTCTTGATTTTTCAGCTATAAAGCCAGGTATTGCTGCAGACATAAAATTTGGGGGATCTGGTTCATGCCCGAACCTACCATGGGTTTCTACCAAAGGCCAAGGGCCAAATGGTAAGACAATTTCTGGTGTAACTTACCGATACAGCACAAACCAAATAAAGATAGTTTGTGCTTGCCACGGCTTGCACATGTCCCCTGAAGAGTTTGTTCGTCATGCAAGCGACGAGCCACCTAATCCCGAAAGTGGCACTGGTTTGGCAGCATTTCCTAATGGCAATCCTTCTGCCTCAGCTCATACCTAATTCTGTACCATGTCTGAAGTACGTTTAACAACTTTATACGCGGTCTGGAAATCCGGGGGATGTTTTTGTACGCTTAACTCGTCATTGTGCTTGTGTGGTAGTAACCTTCATCAGTTCTTCTCGGTTCCCTCATCTGCTACGATCGAGTATTGCAAGTGTATGTAATAATATTCTGTCATTATTCTGTTTGCGACATGAAGGCCAAATATTTCGGTTCCACTGTATTTTGTGATGCTAGTATGAAACGGGTCGATCAACCCTAGAAGACTCGACGGCTTAACAGCCCAGCGAATAACTGATTCAGAGAGATAACTCGGTCTTTAGACACTCACCCTACTTCTAAGAAATGCATACCGATTAGTAGACTGCCTCAGTATAATACCGGAAAATACAGATACAAAAAACCGAATACTTGTATACGTAAACCTGCAAAGGTGATTAGTTGATTAATGATTCTTATTAGTTTCAGATTAGCAATCTACAAACACTTGCAAATGGAGAATTCATGGATCAAGAGTCAAATATTTAGGTAACGATTGAGCTGCTCTGTGTCTTTTAACTTCTGGATTTTTCTGTTCACTCGTCATCCTCCACGTGCCATTATTGAAACACTGGCGGATTTGTTGCTTCTCTGGTCTGGAAAATGAGTCTCTGAATATTTTTACAGGAAATAAAATATTAATTAAGAATTGTTTAATTACTAGGACCGGCAAAGCATTTCCCTTGTTTATTGGCTAAGAAAAATGATTTCCGCACTTCCTTTTGTCTTTTCACACTTCTATGTTTTTTGGTATTTAAATTAAGGAAAACTAATGAAAATGACTTGAAAACTTTGAATTTTAACGATAAGGACAAAATAAAAGGTAAAGTGAATAGTACCATGTTTGATTTTTTAGTGTAAAAATATGGTTTTTCATTAAAGTAAACAGTACCGCGGACTTTTCGTTAAAACTCCCTTTAAATTATGTTATTCAAAAGATAATCAATATACTAAATAATGATACATTTTGTTTTCTCTGTCTGCGCACGCTATGTTTGTTTATCCCGAACTTTCAACTCAATAAAAATATCAAATTCAGACAGTTCAAGGTTGTCATTAGAAAACACAAAAGGCATTAGCTGAATTAATTCATGCCTAAAGATGTTCTATGCAATGAGGTCACCTCAGCTAAGATCCCACAACTCTACCCTTTTGACTTTCTGGGCCAAGCCATGCTAAGCAGCTAATTTGCAAGCACCATACGCAACTAACAACTTTGACTTTCGTATACCATTAATAAACCCTAATAATTTAGTCAAATCACAAATAAATTACCAAATTTCGAGGATAAATTAATCCAACAGAGGGAGCAAATTACATGTGAAAATCTCATAACGAAATTTCACCCTAACTCATATTGGATCGAAAACAAATTAGTAGGGCCATGTCGGTACGACTGAATATGCATTAGAAAGGCCAATCCCTTCCAAACCATAAAAAGGGAACATAATTTCTGTCAAATTAATTAGTATCAGTTGTTGATCACATGCACGTGGATGTAAGTCATTAATTCATAACCGTCTTTGAGATTTCGAGGGCTTTGTGCAAAGTTGATAAAAAGGTCCATTATTCAAGAAAGTTTTCTAAAAAAATTAGAACAATATATTAATACTAAAAAGCAATCAAAAGCGGTTCAATCTTAAACAACCATACAAGTAAAAAAGCTTTAGAAATTCTTGGGTTACAGTTTCACTTGAATATATAGTATTATCATATAATAAAATTGAAAATAAAAGTCGTTTTTATAATGTTATTATTGACACTCTAAATATCTCATTGTGAATATTAGATATCAAAACTTTTTGAAGGCCGTTCAAATTTGAAACCTTATACGACTACAACTTTCGCTCTCCTCCAATGTCGCCTTTGATCATTGATGAATTGTGAATACATTATAAGAAATCTATGTGTAAACAATTGGAGCTAGCAATTTTTTCTTTCTTTAATCGTAGTTTCACCGGTTGTGTATAAGAAATTAGTTTAATGATCTGTCTTAATAGTTAACATGATTGATGTCATGTTGCAGGTGGTGCTTAGATAATAATGCAGCCTACCATAAGAGGCAATATTTGTCTACATGCATTCATCCTCTCTCCCCACATTCGTCATCACTTCTCAACTCTTCAATTATCTTTGTTATTAATAAACTCCAATAATATAAAAATGGTTTATCAAATTCGAAACACATGAAAACCCCAACAAGTAACACATAAAATTTCACCAGAATGATATAAACAGTTGTATGTATATATGTATATATAGTTCCTTTTCCCCTAAACTTCAACTCCTCCACAACCATATATCTGTATCTATACATACATATATATATGTATGTGTGTATATATAGTTCCTTTTTGCTTCCAAAGATGATTAGATTTTTGGGTCAGTCTCAAAATTTCAAATTTCCAATGTTCCATTCAAGTTTGATTGTTTTTTTGCTTCTGAATTTTGTGGTTTTCCATGTTGAAGCACAATCCAGTGGCCCAGATGATCCTTCCGATGAACAAAGCAATTTTCAACCAAGTGTTGCTGTGGTTATTGGAATTCTATCAGTCATGTTTGCACTGACTTTTGTCCTCCTTGTGTATGCAAAACTCTGCCACAGAAGAGCAGGTGCGGTTGGAAACAACAACAATCTCCAGCCAACAGGACTTATCAGTAGAAGCTCTCGGTTTTCGGGGATTGACAAGACAGTGATCGAGGCACTTCCTTTTTTCAGATTCTCTTCACTGAAAGGGTCGAAGGAGGGCCTCGAATGCTCAGTCTGCCTGTCGAAATTCGAAGGTGTTGAAATCCTCAGGCTGCTTCCCAAATGCAAGCATGCTTTTCACATCGGCTGCATTGATCACTGGCTCGAAAAGCACTCGAGCTGTCCTCTCTGCAGGCACAGGGTTAGTGCTGAGGAGTTGACTTCCATTACCTACTCAAACAGTATGAGGTGGATCAATCAATCAGAGCGCCGCCAGGACTCGAACATAGAGCTCTTTGTTCAGAGAGAGGAGGATCACCGCAGTTCTTCAAGATTCAGCCTAGGAAGCAGCTTTCGGAAAGTTGACAAGGCGATTGATAAGGAACTGTTGATCCAAGAAGCTGCTGATGTGACAGAGGAAGATCAGAAAGTTCTGCACAAGCACAAGCACACAATTGTTGTTTCGGATCTTGAGTTTAAGAACAGATGGAGCAATTTGAGTTCCTCTGACCTCATGTTCTTGAATTCCGAGATGCTTAACACGAAGTCAAGCGATAGATTCTCTTTCAGACATTTGAATGATGAGCAGTTTTCGCCGGTGAAAGCAACAGGGAATGAGGAGATTGTAAAGATTAGGGAGGACAAAGTTGGTACAATGAACAAAAATAGTTCAGCTTCGGTTCCTTCTGATTCAGACAGCATAGCAGCTTCAGCTCACGCCTCGAGTTCAGTGAAACGAGGAGAGAAAAGATCCATGTCCGAAATCACTGGTCTTTCGAGATTTGCGAATTTGGGTTTTAAGAACAGGACTAGAGGGCCTTCTCTGCTCGAAAACAATGCGGAGGAGGAAAGAAGGAGGCGGCTTTGGTTGCCGATTGCCAGTAGAACAGTCCAGTGGTTTGCCAATAGAGAAAATAGGCCTCCACAGCCTCAACAGCCTTTAGATGTATAATTTGGATCAATGGAAGATTCAAGTTTCATAGGATTTAGGTAGTTTTATTTCGAAGTTCTAGAGGAACACGCGCACTTTGAACGCTGTTTTATTTTTGGATTCCTTTGTACCAATGCATCATTCTAAATTTTTAAGGACTAGCACATATAGCCATATAGATGTCGATAGAATTCTTATACAAATACCAACTTCTTGAATCAATGAAATTATATATTGTTGTTTGCTTTTTGCTTAGAAAACATATTGCTTCTTTTCCAAGAAAGGAATTTGGATAACAGCAAGACATTACCAAAAATCTTACAAGACAAATAACTCAAACACCAAACTGAAACCGAAACGTAGAGGCCACAAGTTGCCTGCGAAAAGCTCATCGCCAAAAGTTCGATTGGTTTAACGGGTTCTCACCTGCCGGGCCATCGAGCTAATGACTGCATTAGCTTATAGGTAGATCTTAACATGACTGATGTCATGTGGTAGCTGGAGCTTATATTATAATGTAGGATGATTACACAATAAAATCCATGAGAGGGCATATTTGTAGAAACCCTAATATACAGCAATATAAAAATAATTAATCCAATTAGGACACACACGAACAACCGAAGAAGAAACCAAGAAACTGAAATATCACAAACCAGATTGATATTTCCCTTAAACTTCCAAGTTCTCCCACAAACATATATGTATATATAATTCGTTTTTTCTCCTGCAGAATGCTCCGAAAAGATGATTAAAATTTCGGGGTTTCAAAATCTCGACCTTCCAATGTTTCATTCAAGCTTGTTTGTTTTGCTTCTCAACTGTGTGGTCTTCCATGTTGAATCACAATCCTTAGGCTCAGATATGGCTTCTGATGAAGAAACTAAATATCAACAAAGTGTTCGTACGGTTATCGGTGTTCTATCTGTCATGTTTGCGTTCCTTTTTACTCTCCTAATTTATGCCAAATACTGCCATAGAAGAGTTCCTGTTCGAGAAAACAGTCTCCTGGAAACGGGACTTATCAGTAGAAGCTCCCGGTTTTCGGGGATTGACAAGACAGGTGATTGAGGCACTTCCGTTTTTCAGATTCTCTTCTCTCAAAGGGTCAAGGGAAGGTCTCGAATGCGCAGTCTGCCTATCGAAATTCGAAGATATTGAGATTCTCAGATTGCTTCCAAAATGCAAACATGCTTTTCACATCAACTGCATTGATCACTGGCTGGAAAAGCACTCAAGCTGTCCTCTCTGCCGGCACAAGGTTAGCTCTGAGGATCTTACGTTCGTTACCTTCTCGAATAGCATGAGGGTCTTGTCGAATAACCAATCAGAGTATCGACAGGACTCGAACATAGATCTCTTTGTTCAGAGAGAGCAAGATCGCTGCGGTTCTTCGAGATTCAGCATCGGAAGCAGCTTTCGAAAAAGCGAAAAGGTGATTGAGAAGGAAGCTGAACTGCTAATCAAGGCAGAAGCTGCTTGTGGTGATGTGACAAAAGAGGATGACAAAATCCTGCACAAGCACAAGCACAAAATTCTTTTTTCCGCTTTCGAGTTTAACAACAGATGGAGCAATCTGAGTTCGTCTGATCTTATGTTCTTGAATTCGGAAATGCTCAACACGGTGTCAAGCAATAGATTCTCTCCCATAAAACTAAACGATGAGCAGCTTTTGACCGCGAAAGCATCGGGAAATGAGGAGATTATGAAGATCAAGGAGGAGATGGAGATGAAGAGATTGTTCGAGAACAAAGTTAGTACAATGAACAAAAACAGTTCAGCTACAAACTCAATTGTTCCCTCTACATCAGACAGTATAGCAACTTCAGCTCATGCCTCGAGTTCAACGAATCGAGGAGAGAAAAGATCAATGTCCGAAATCACTGCTCTTTCGAGATTTGGAAACTTGGGTTTCACCAACAGGACTAGAGAGCCTTCTCTACTCGAAAACAACCCGAAAGAGGATAGGATGAGGCGGCTTTGGATGCCGATTGCCAGAAGAACAGTCCAGTCGTTTGCCATTAGAGAGAAAAGGTCTCCACAGCATTTAGATGTATGATTTGTTTTAGTTCAAGCTTTCAGTTTCCATAGATTTTAGGTACTTTATTCATAAGTTCAATCTAATTCCTATCAAATTTGAAGTACCAAATTCTTGAATCCGTTTTTTTTTTTCTTTGACAAACTACTCTAATCTAGATGGAGGGAGGATTCGAACTTGGGTTTGGAAGGACGATGGGCACACTGTCTTAAGCAACTAATTTAACTCGCGTTCGCAACTTCTTGAATCCATCAAATGACATATTTTTTTTTGTTGCTTTTCTTTAGTAAAACGTATCCCTTCTTTCCCTAGTAAACCACCCTCGTTCCATGAACGAGAATCATGCTATTTCCATCATTTTCAACAATTAAATAGTTAGCCACCTAAATTTACACCAAACCAACATAATTTATTTGCAGTTGACTTAAAAAACTTATAAAACTAAAGCTCCCAGACTTTTAAGCCAAATACATTCATCTAATTAGTCCTTAATCGTAAAATTGTCATGGCTAATTGTGTCTAATGATGATCGCGTCTGAAAACGACTTAATGAAAAGATTTAAGAAGAAGAAGAAGAAGAAGAAGAAGAAGATGCTCCTTGAAACCATCGGACCAAATCATTTTATTATCTATTTGGTTGGGAAAATTCAACTTTCATCAGTCACTTGTTGTCCTCTCATGAAATTTAAAATCCTCTGAAAATGCTGTCGTTTATTATTTATAAGGCAATAAAATTGTACTTTTGTCACAGTTGTGGTATTGGTGTCAGAGCTGAGTCTGCTTCATTTGTCCTCGAGGAAAGCAGCCACGAATCGACTTTGCATGTTGATCTTAATTAAGTGTTAAATCTTAATTTTACGTTTCTGTCCTTGTCGGCTTGATACCTCTATTATGTTTTTCTGCAGTTCTTATATTGTATTTGTTATTCGTTTACTTTAGTGGTGTTGTCGTCTAATCGGAAGAGGACCAATAAGTGCTCTCTTTTTTCGGTTTTGAAAGTGTTTTTCGAATGGCTAAACGAGGTTTCTGATAACTAAAATGCTTTTAACCATTTTTGAAGAAGAAAAAAAAAGTGGTTCTTGATTCTAAAAGCCGTTTTGGAAGAAGAAAAAATTAATTCCATAGTAATTAATAAGAAGAATGGATAGTTGGGGACTCGAGAGCTTCGTGGCTAAGTCGATCAAATTTGTATCAGCTGCTATTACAGAAGTAGAACTTGAAGAAATGAGCCCCTCATTCATCTACACATATATGCATTTACAGAGGGGAGAAATTCGCCGAAAAGAAAAAGAGAATGATGGGAACAGAAAATCTATCAACCGGCCTCTCCATGAAATAGTCAAATGGCTATCAGCAGCGGCCTATGGTCCCAGAAGATATTTACTCTTCTAATGCTACTATGCAATCACGTAAAATATAACGGGACCACAAGCAAGGTGAATCTCAGGATTGTAACTTCGACGTTTCCTCCGTTGGTTTTGTATGTCTCGGTGGTTTCTCATTGTTCAGCCAAGCTGTGAGTCAAATCTCACAGCAGAGAGGATTCAGAAGAACCCCACCTGGAATTTTTTACAAATGTGGAAAGTCCTGTAATTTTTTATCCTTCTACCAGTCGTCAAACCATTCAGGGGTATCGAGTTCTTCTCCATTTCGAGATGGAGAAGCTAGAGGAACAGAACAGTCCTCGGAGTGACTTCCCAAATGTTGAGTTATACGAGATGTGATCTCATGAGGAACAGGCAAACTACTGTCTTTGATCCCTTCCCAATCAATGCCATCAAACCAGGGATGCCTTTTGACAGATTCATAACCTTGGCTTCCTAGTCTGGTGTTTTCATCAACCTCGAGTAACTGAACATATTATTATAAACAGAAGCATGTGAAAATTCCTTTTGTGAGAGAGAGAGAGAGAGAGAGATGACTAAAAAGATTCCTACAATACCTTAGTGATGAGATCAACAACTTCAGGACTAAAAGTTTGCGGTAGAGTTAGCTGTCCCTTTGCGATCTTTGCAAATGTATCAAGCTCACTTTGTCTCCATGAGCCGAATGGCATTTCACCCTGTAGCATGAAGTATATCAACACTCCTAATGCCCACCTGCAAATTTTCAAACAAATTCAGAACTGCAGGAGGTCTCAGAAGGATACTGTCAAGACAAAAAAATAATAAAATAATATGAAATGTAATTATATGTACAACTCAGATCTCAATGCCTAAAACTTCAATCATTCCACCGTTACCAACACAGGAAGGGACCTGTTTCCATCTTAAAACTTTTTCCAGAGATCTTAAACAAATCTCACCAGGTGTCCTAGTGGAAGCATATCTTCTCGCAATTACCCTCAAGTCCACTAGCATATATTCTTACTGTACCACTAATGCTAATGCTGATTTTGTAAATTTATGAATATTTCTGTCAAGCACTTGCCTCTAAATTCTCCCAATTTCACTAAGCCTCTATACCGCCTAGTCCTGAATAATTTACTTCTTATACAATGTGTTTCACATTTTCATGAAAAACTACGTATAGTATTCAGTGATGTATAGAATAGCTAAGCTTAGGATGAACGAGGCATAATTCACCATATTACCAGTCAGCTGGGAAACCATGGCCTTTTCCCTGGACTACCTCTGGAGCTAAAAAGTCCACCATTCCACAAATTGTATATGTCCTTTCACCAGATAACTTCTTGCCAAACCTGAAGTCTACTAGCTACATTACCGAAAAAAAAAAAAAATTAGTAATTAAGCATAATTTCATCAACTTCTCCCTTCTTCGATTATTCAGCGTCAATCCAGATACCATGAATAAACATGATTCAGAATGGAAAAACAAAACATTACCAACCTGCAAATATCCTGTTTGGTCCAACATTAAAACATCAGGAGACAAGCCTCTGTAGAGAACGTCATTCTGAAAGTCAAATTACAAAGAAAAGAAAATGAGAGATGTTGAAAAAGAAAGATGTCACTTAAACAGTCACGGCAGGAGCTAATAAGCTAATTCCAGACAATGGACCTTATGGAGATCTGCCAAACCAGCAACTAGAGAGGCTGCACAAAATTTGGCAGATGGTTCATCAAGGGGAGTGCGAAGTATCGAAGCCAACGGACAAGCAAGGCAAGTATTATACAGTATGCCAGCATGTGTCTGATCAACACATGTGCACAGAAACTGTGGCACACACGCTGAAGAACTCATACTCTTGATTAGATCCTTCTCTCTTAACACTTGTGCTTCCTTTCCCATCCTTCTGACCTTTTGCTTTGAAAACCTTTTCAAACTAAGCAATTTTTCTGATAGGCAATCAGATTTAACAAGAATAATTCCTGTCAGCTTATGTATTGTTTTAAACAAAAATAAATTCTTCTCAAAATATTGAATCTACTATTAGATCTGTCCCATTCATTGCAGTATATATTATCGACTTCTTTCTTTGTCTAACAAATGATATATCATATATTACTTCAACATGAATCCGGTATCGTGTAGAAGTCCAATCTAACCAAATAAAACCACAGCTGAAAAGAAAAACCCTAAATGACAACCAACCAACCTGAATCTCTTAAACATACAAGTCCAATCTCACTGCAGTCAGTGCTATATAAAATTGTTCTCCAATCCTAAAATGGAAACATATGTAGCATCAATAAATTATACGATAACTCAATTAAGCATTTATCCTTAGAAACTTAGAAACCTACAGACAAGCAGGGCACTGAATTCCATACCAGATCAGACAACTGGACTTTAGTAAGAGCAGAAATATCAACGTTCTTGGCAGATCCCTTTGGAACGTCAGAAGAATAATCCCTTGACCTACACAGTGACATCAACAAACAGCATCCGAAATATGAAAGAAACAGTCATGAGATATCCTGTATAATATAAAAAAGAGTTCTACGACATTGTCACATGTCATTAGAAAGCTCCAAAATTAACCATGGATTTCCAATTGGTAGATTGATTAAAATTTAAGAACTGAGACTTCAAGAGAATACCACATACTTCCGATCATCCTGAGAAAGCTTTGTCAAAGGGCCAATGACTGAATCAAAATTCTCCTTTGTTAAAACAGCACAGGTGACATCTCCCACAGAAACTGCAGTAAACAAATCAATATGTTCTCCAAGAAGTGCCCATTCACCAAAGCAGCTTCCCTCCGTCTTCTCCACTGAGAGCTCTTTACTGCTCTGAGGATGATCATCTTTTTGTTGATAGTCAGACTTCAGACTCCGGACAACTGGACTACTAACTGCATTTGCATCAAAAGTAATCCTCACTTTTCCCTTCTGGATAATGTATAATCCAACTAGGCGTTCACTCTGCAGATACATGTGAAATACACATTAGATATAGGCAAAGAGTAAATGATACCCTTAGGGAAAGTAAAGTACCTCACTGACTATCGTCTGCCCTTCTGAGAAGGAAACTTCAGACAGAGAATCGGCAATATGGCTCAGCTGTAAGATTGTCAGCCTTGATAGAAGATCCACCGATCGAAGCAACTTCAAATATGACAAATTAGAAAACTCTGACGTTAAAATTCCACGGAAGTCTTCTCTTTTCAAAGCCCAAAGAGTTCCACTGGTCACAGCACGAACAGAGGCCTGGAGTGGTTTGTTATGCCTGTAGTATCACATATCGCAAGATCAAGTAAACAGGAATTAGAAAACACATGATGCACTATTACAAAAGGAAACAAACAGATCAAGGAAAGCCGAAACAAATTGGATCTAACTTGTCCCAGGAATATGCTTCCCATTTCCCCTGGCTCCGCAATGGCAAATCATTAATATTTTCTAATGCATAGATGTACAGGTGTAAGAAAATCTAATGTTCAATTTGTGCATGAAATTTCCAAGAGTAAATCATAAAGTCAGCTCACAGAAACTCTATGATAGCACAACCATTTTTGGAACCAACAGATGAAAAAATGGTAGATTAACTCACATTAGCGCTAGTTCTCCAAAGGATGACAATTTATCAGCTGTATAGTGCTGCAGAACCCTTGGAACCTCTCCATTCTTTTCTTCCTGCCAAGATCGTATCCAGTCAACAAAAAATCTGTGGGGCCTCATGAAGTAATTATCCAAATGAATTTCAAGTAGAAAAAGGATATATTTAAAACCTGGGTCGCCAACACCTCAAATTCTCCACTACCAACAACATAAAAGCAGTCACCTTCACCACCCTACAAAATATGGTAATGTTAATAGTAAGATAACCACACAAAATTGTAACATTTTAACTTCTCTATTTTTTGAACATGGAGTCTTTAGGCTGTTTTGGCAATGGATCAGCATTGCGAATGTAACTTCAAAAATTAAACCAATAATGCTTTGTGCATCGGCAACTGCTTTGTGTATTATTAAATTGACTTTTAAAAATCAAACTTACTGGGCAGGGGGTCCCCAGGTCACTTAACAAACTGCTTTGTGTATTATTAAATTGTAAATAATTCTACTTTAGTTACATAAATTTCTTGGCCATAGGGACAAGCATGAGTTTGTGTATACTATTTCCGTAGAAATTCACGAACCTGAATCCTGCAGTTGTAAGAGCATTTCAAGTAAATTAGAACTACACCAGAATTAATAGTCTATTACAAATATTAATCCTTTTCAGATTGTTGATGTCATAAGTCCATGTATGCCACTCATAACTGTGCCCAAAGCAAGACAATTATGTGCAAGAGCTATGAAAAGCTATTACTGTAAACAAGAAAAGCAAAAAAATAAAGAAAAGGAACCTGTCTAACAACAACATCTCCAGGCTGGAACTCAACCCTTTCCATGCAGTCCAATAACACCTGACACTGAGAATCAGTAAGCTTTCTGAAGAGGAAATGGTCGTGCAAAGCCCGCTCAATGTGTGCCTATTTACCACAAACAAATGTTCGAAGTAAGAACTCGCGATAGAGAAATTGACATCATTTCTGGTCTTTCATACAAAATCATGACGAACGGAAATAAAAAAGGATATGAAATAAAGCATACTTCTTCCTCCCAAGTCTTTCTGTGGGATGGAGATGGAGGAACCCAAATTTGCCCATTTTCTAGAGAACTCTCAATTGCACGAAGGCGTGCCTTTGACAAATCATGTCTGGTGCGCTGGTTCCTAGAGTTCCACCCAGATGGTGAAGGAGATTCACATCCTGTAACCTCTACAACTTGAGGAACAGGTGGTCGTAAAGCACCAGCAGGGCTTACTGATTGACCAATGGACATCTATAAGAAAAAGACATTATTAATTGACTACATTTGAGCAAACCATATTTATGTAGAAGACAATGGACTTTGAATATTAAATGCACAGAACGTCATAGTTTGGACAGCAAGTCCTCTTACATCAGTCAGCCCATTTACATGCACAACGATCACCGTAATATCATCTGTACGAGTTTCATACTGCAGCCAGAGTTTATACGATTCAGCTACAATTGCAGCACAAGCATCACGGGGATCTTTAAATTTTGCAACCTGTAAATATAGTAACAGAATCAAGAAAAGTGGAAAACAGAAAAACAAATAAGACGTACTCAACTTAACTAAACGCACTATGCCCAACAATAAGAAAGCAAACAACCAATCATAACCTTTCACAATTAACTTATAAAAGGTCAATGAATCAGAGATAAATAACTCTAACAGATTCCACACTTGATTGCAACAAAGAGAGAGCAGGATACCTTACCATATCCACCACAGCTTGGCTAGAAAGGAACTCAAAAACTCCATCACTAGCAAGAACAAAGAAAGGATTATTCTGTGTAAGCTCTAAAACCACGATTTCAGGGTTCGCAACAACCCCAATTGTCTCAGCAATTGAATCACCAAGACTCCTTGTAAAAGCTGTCCCAGGATACATTCCATTTGGCACCCACAATCTAGGCGGATCACCATCATCGCTTTCTTCGGTTCCCCAACACTGTACATCTGGATTCTTCAGCCCTTCAATTTGATCCAATGTAAGAACTCTTGCACCACAAAGCTTAACCCTTTCGAGCTCGTCCACTCTAAATGGGGTTTGATCAATTGAAAGGTCCACAGCTACAATGTCATCCCCTTTCCTCTCTGCTATAACAGCCCTTGAATCACCCGAATTCGCAATGCATATCGTCCTGCCTCGAACCAAAACCGTAATTGCAGTTGTCCCGCTCATGCTATCATCCAAAATATCAGCGTGCAACTGAGAATTGGTCGCGATAAATGCAGAATGGCATGCTTCGACAGCATCCACTTGAAATTTATTATTCCTAAGCAAATTCTCACACAACTTTCTTTTCACAAACTGCGAACACTGAGCTCCGAATTCTCCATGACCATCAAAGACCCCGAAGAAATGATCATCCGGGTTTGTCCCAAATGGTGTGTGGATGCAAAAGCTATCTTGGTTAGCCTTATCAAGAGCATCAGGGTAATAACCTCTCTGAGACAAATACGAATACCGCATTTCAAAGTTTCCTGAAGGGACCTTGACAGTTCTTGACCCATTGGGGGGCAGAAACTGTGATGAAACCCTACGGAGCCTAGTTATACCCATCTCAGCATCCCCAGTTAAGCCAGTCTGGTTGAATTGGTCTCTGAGCTCACCTACTTCTCCATTGGAGGAAGTAGGAGAGAACACTGGGATCTCAGTGCTCCTCACATCCTGACTCTCTTTCAATTTCGGAACTCTTGGAGTACAAAGCTCTCCAATGCAAACTCTCGAATACACACAACCCATCACTCAAAAACACAAATTGAATCGAACCCAGATGCCAAATTTACCTGAAAATTCATCAGTTTCAAGTTTGAACAAGCTCAATCATCCCTGCAACCCATCACTCAAAAAAGAAAATTGAAACGAACCCAAATGCCGAATTTACCTAATAATTCATCAGCTTCGAGTTCGGTCGAGCTCAATCACTATACTACCCAACACTCAAAAATGCAAATCGAATAGAACCCAGCTGCCAAATTACCTGAAAATTCATCAGTTCGAGCTTTCGAGTTCGAACAAGCTCAATGACTCTGCTTCTTCGAGCAAAATAAATGAGATTTTGTTGGATTTTTCTCCAGACTTATCTTCCACAGCTGCCCACAAAACTACTTTCAGAGAATGAAAGGAAACCGACTACAAAAAAAACTATTAAATTGCAAATCTTTTATGAGATATTCAAACTGTTAGATATTAGCAAATTGGAAAGCGACGTTGTTGATCTACAGTGCCTCTCACAACCGTTACGATAAAATACAACAAAAATAGAAGCAAATAAAAGCACTTCTGAATCGTGCAAAAATTGGAAAGCAGACAGTTGGGTTTTGCAGAGGAAGCCGAGAAATCTGCTTGCTTGAGTGAGTCACTCAGCAGGTGCTTTGCTTTTGCTTTGGGGAATAGTTCGGGATAGGGAGAAGAGGGAAGGGGAAGGCGCGTGGGGACAGGGAGTGGTCGGGGTGCAGATTGCGGATTAGGCCGTATCAGTGCACTGCATCTATTTTTGTGGACACTGCTACTCCCACGCGCCGTGACGGGAAGTGTTTTCACCTTCATATTTTTATGGAATAGGTATATATTGTCAAACAAGTTAGGTTTTGAGATTAAATTCTATCCGTTGTTTACGGTAAAATTTAGCATTGTCTTGAATTTGCATAATCATCGTTTAATGGGATTTTAGCTTACTCGTCATCCACGAAAGTCAACTTAAAATCGTCAACTTAAATGAAGAAAATACGATCAAATCTGTTAATCTTAGTACTACGACAAGAAACACTATTTTATTAGTAAATATTATAGTTTTTTCAAAACAACGAAAAAAGTTGACATTTTCAAACCTTAATAATAATTCTGGTAATGTGTATCTGATATTTTTCAAATCTCGTCTTTGTAATTCAATGTTGTCTTGTAAAAAGATTACTAATTTATTTTTCTCATCATAATTCTCAAGGATTCTTTTCTATATATAATTAAAATAATAGAGGAAAGATGATGCGACTATTCTCTAGTTTTTGTTGCATTAGACTAGAGAATATTTGAAGTTAAAAATCTCATAACCAAACAAGAACAAGAAAACAAAATATAAACTAAAAAAAATTAGTTTGTAGAATGCAAACCTTATCAGTTATCACACACTTTGCTTTATTGTTTCATTGAATAATTGAATTATGCCTTTACCAAAGTGCGTGTGCGCAGAGGACTATCTTCCATACTCGAATGAGAAAACCGCCCCACGTTCGTTCATAATCACATAAACTTTCCCAAGTGATCCTTCACTTCAAAAAGATAGGAATGGCCCCTTGAATTCAATTTGATTAACTTCTTTTTTGTTTATCCATTCTTTTGTCTAAATGTGAATTCAATATAAAGTAAATAAAAAATTTATAAAACTTTTGGGAGGATGTGTGCTAATTATCTCTGGTCATGGGATGTGGCCTTTTTGAGCCCCATTGGGTAGGGATGGGACTTTAGTAGCCGACCAACTTGACCAACCCAACTGAAATTGGGTTGAGTTGTAAGCTTCAAATTTATTTTTGAGTAAAAACTTGTTACCTGTCCAATAGGTGAGTTGGGTTGATGTATTATTAACCAAATTGAAATCGACCCACCCAAATACCAACAATTCTTAATCAAGCATGTATATTACATAGATATACACATAAAATCTAATCGTTATTAAACACACTTGTTTATTTATAGTTTAGTTAAATCATAAAATTTAAATATATAAATACAAATAGTGATTCTACAATATCAAATTCACACGATTTAACCCTAATATGACATGTATTTTGAATTATTTGTCACTGATTCTCACTTTACAAATAGGAAAGAAAGTAAACTCAATTCGTAAAATCCTTCCAACCCAACTTGCCTTAGAATGGTTTGGGAGGTTGAAGTCCAACGACCAACCCACCCAATTGGCCCACCCCTACCATTGGAGATTAGCCTCTTCATGCCCCACTGAAATTTAGTCCTATAAATTGATCTAAACTATTGGGAATTTGAACTTGTGCATAAGATGACACAATATCCGAACCAACTTGAATACGTGTTATTTACATTTTCTTTCCTTTTTAAAACTTTGCTAGCAAGCAAGTGATAAAGAAGTAAATTCTTTGCTTTGGTTACATCGTGATTCTTCATGAAATGTTCAAACAAACCAAGAGAATGTTTTTCTGTGAGCTTATAAATTACGTGCACCTTTTAGGGTTTATACTTTTTAAGACTAGAACATGGATCGCATTCTTTTACTTGACTTTTTGTGGAACCAAAAAATATAAAGAATGGACAAGTACAAATGAATGAATGAATGAACACTCAACAGCTTACAAATTAAATAGGTTTAGTAATAAAGTTGTCATCATGATTTTCAATTAGTTGAAATAATACCAGTCAGTTCTTCTTGAACATGGTTTATATGCGTTACAGAAAAACCACAAATTTTCAGTGTATTTATTGATCATGCATCAATAATATTTATAACTAACTGAATTGAAACTGAACTACCATCGACATATCTTTTCTCCACTAATTAATAAAACACTCGTTGTCAACCAAAATCCTATGAAATTATCAGTTTAACCCTTTAATTAAAACAGAACATGAATAAGAAATATGAGCAATAAATGTAATTTCACACAACCAAATTTTGCTATTTTTTTTCTTCATCTACATGAGATCCTAACATATCTCTAATTAAAAAAAAAAAAAAAAAATCCCACTCCCACATTCTCTATCACTCCCTTCCTATCTCCTTCTATTTTAAAAACAAAAATAAAAAATTTTCTCACACACTTTGTATGGGCCCATATGCTAGTATATATGATACCAATTACCATATGATTTAGTCGCCTTCAAATTAGTCAAGCTCTAATCTCACCAACAACGCAAGTGATCTTCTACCACAGTGGTTGTTAATGACTAATCTAACTTCTAATCTAATAAAATATATTGTTTGACAAAAAAATAAAAAAAAAATCTCACCAACGACAAAGAAACTAATCTTACAGGTATTAAACGTCAAATACTCTCGCGTTAAGGCCCCAACAGTACCAACCCCTAAATTGGGCCTTGGGCCAGGCCCAACTGGAAAACAAACCAGAGGTCCAGAAGTCTACCCCACAGGGGACACACACACACACACCAGTACACGATATCAAAGACAAACTCGTCCTCCACCGTTGGATCTTAATAAAAATGGCAATCGAATCGAATACGACGCAGCAATAGCTGCTTGTCCTCTCACTTCACTCCACCAGTCACCACACCACACCACACCACACCACCAGGCCTTCCCATTTCTTTATTCTCTCTCCTTTTCTTCCCAAAAAATAAACAATATAAGTTCTTCAAGTTCACAGAGGGGAGAGAGAGAGAGATGGTGCGGATAATTCCCATGGCGTCTTCAATCAGACCCTCGCTATCCACGCTGAGGTTCGCCGGAGCTTCTCGCCTGGGCTTTTCCTTCGCTTCCTTCACTCCTTCCCGGCGACTCGCTTGCTTCCAACTCGCTAGTGGTAATATATATATACAAATTCTCCGCCTTTCGCTGCTTACCCTTTTGTGTTGAACCCTGAATTTCCCATCTTTTTCGCTGAATTCCTCGATTTTCGGTTGAATTGGGATGTTAATTTTGTTGTATGTATGCACAATTTGATTTGATTAGTGTGGGAGTGTTTGATTGGAAAATTTGATTAGTGTGGAAGTAATCGATTGGGAATTTTATATAAAGTATTGTGAATTTAACTGTTGGGATTGTATTTGTTCTTCACAATCAAGTTACGGCATTGACAATGTGATTGGATTTGTGAATTGATAAGGTTTTGTGATCATTTCGACCTGCTTGATGATTTTGAGTTGTATACCAGCTGTGCCACAGTCACCGTCTTTCGGTCTGAAAGCTTCTAAGCTGTTGAGAGGAGATGGTAAAACCACGGGGGTGGCTGCTGCTGGAAATGCCGCGCAAGCTAGCACAACGGCTTCCCCTGAAAATGTCCTAGAGTGGGTCAAACAGGACAAGCGGAGGATGCTCCATGTGGTTTACCGCGTTGGAGATTTGGACAGGACCATAAAGTATGTCCGCTCAATGCAACGTGAACTATCCTTTTGATTTCATATGTAATGCCCTGTTTTCTTATGATTATAATGAAACAACGCAGAATTCAAACATAGAGTTGTGTTGTGCCTTGCAGATTCTACACAGAATGCTTAGGAATGAAATTGTTGCGAAAGCGTGACATACCCGAGGAAAGATACACCAATGCTTTCCTTGGGTACGGGCCAGAGGATTCCCACTTTGTTATTGAACTCACTTACAGTATGGCATCCAACTAGTTTTCATCTTTTCCAAAATCTGAAGCATTACCTGTTTTGAACTACTTCCATAAGCACTTGTCCTGCGAATTGAATTTCATATGATTGATGTTCATTTCATTTAATGGCACTTCCAGATTATGGAGTTGACAAGTATGATATTGGAACTGCATTTGGTCATTTTGGTATTGCCGTTGAGGATGTAAGTCGCTATTTTTTTGTTAAATTTTGTTCTCTAAGATGCAGGATGCAGATTTTTTTTAATGCAATTTGGTATTATCCTGTTGTTACTACTATCTAGACTATTGGGGATTTTCTGTTCTTAAAGGACATCTATATATGTTCTTGTGGTTAGGTTGCCAAGACTGTGGAGCTCGTAAAAGCTAAGGGTGGCAAGGTAACTCGTGAACCTGGTCCGGTCAAAGGGGGAAAAACAGTAATCGCATTTATTGAAGATCCAGATGGTTATAAGTTCGAACTATTGGAAAGAGGGCCTACCCCTGAGCCCTTGTGTCAAGTTATGCTTCGTGTGGGTGATCTTGATCGATCCATAACTTTTTATGAAAAGGTAAAGGTTGTTTTGGACAGAAATATGCTGTTGGCCTTTCATGTTTTTACTCGTCACTGCTTATTTGTTTTGGAACTCATTTACTTTTGGTTCTCAATTCTTAATTCCTTTCCACTCACTAGGCTTTTGGCATGGAGCTCCTTCGCAAAAGAGATAATCCGGAATACAAGGTAATTTTGCATTTTGTCTACACCAATAGCCTTTTATAGTTGTACACTGAATTATTGGAAATGATTGGTCATTTTGATGCCTCTTTTACCCCCAAAGATGGAATAAGTATGATGAGATAGTAAATGAGACTCTAGATTGAAGCATGATTACAAAAAACATAATCGCCATGCCTTACCAATAGTTTTAGAGCTTTGCGCTTTTCATCATGTCACAATGGTCATTACTTGCAGGAATAGTGTATAGAGTGTTTCTACCTGAATGACATAACCTTTTGCTTGTTGCTCCCATACCTATTACTTCTAGTAGTACTCTAGTAACGCAAAAATGCCTTTTCTCTTCAAGTGCACTATACGTTATTGACATAATTGTGCTCATTACTTCTAGTATACTATAGCAATGATGGGTTATGGCCCCGAAGACAAAAGTGCTGTTCTGGAGTTGACATACAATTACGGGGTCACTGAATATGACAAGGGAAATGCTTATGCTCAGGTAGAACCCGTACCTCTCCCCAGCTTCTCTTCTTTTGATAGCATTCCCTCTGTCCATTGCAAAATGGTTTTCTTATTCATGCATGCATAATTTCCTGTGGTTCGTCATGTTATTGTGAGAATACCACATGAAAATTGATATATTTTCTTGCCAACATTTTTTCGGACTAATTTTGAAGAATGGTTTCTTTTTTCTCTCAACAGATAGCAATAGGCACTGATGATGTCTATAAAACTGCTGAAGCAATTAAACTCTCTGGGGGCAAGATTACTCGGGAGCCTGGGCCATTACCTGGTCTAAACACAAAGATCACTGCTTGCTTGGACCCTGACGGATGGAAATCGGTATGGCTCATTCTTTTATGCTTTACTCATATATGTACCTACCCTGACGGCTGAAAGTTGTTTGGTGGCTCATTGCCCCAGGATTACAAGGTCTCACTCCTCATTTTGTTTTGCAGGTTTTTGTGGATAATGTTGATTTCCTCAAGGAATTGGAGTGAGTTATGAGAGGCTTACGCGTACCCAAGCTTGTGATATTGAAACTGAAATCTCGGGCCAAGATGATTCTATGAAGCTGTTCTCTTGAACGAATGCATTAAATCCCCGTTTTGTAGATAAAATTATAATTAGCTTTGAATAACCATTGTAACAAATATTTATCTCACGATAGCGTTGCAGTCATTGTAAGAAAAAGGAAAAACAACAATTAGTTTTGCAGTGTTACTGTTAGTTCGAGATGTTGTTATTATTTTTTTGGTGATTCATCTGCCACTGTTTTTGTGGGAAGTTCTCTCTCAAGATTTCTGGTACTCATCCTCTTGCTTCCGGCTCCCCGGAGACCTTTCCAGGGTTCAGCCGTCTGCGGTTAGGCATATTTACAGGGAGATGAATATGGTTGTGTATATAGGTATGGTCGCCTTCGGTCTTTCCTTGGACGCGGATTCGATGAGAAGTGAGAAGTGAGAAGTGAGAAGTGATAACCCTAAGCCCTAATTTTGTTTAATCTGGGTTGGTGAGAAGTGAGCAGGGCCTGTATTTCTTTTGGTGAGAAAGTAATTTGTTTCAATCGTGCCATGAAGTCGCTTGTTTTGTCATAATATTTCTTCAATCACCATTGGACCTAATTATTTCCTTGTAGTTGGCCGGTAACATTTTTTTTATTTTTTATTTTTTGGAGTTGGAGTTTGAGGTTAAAAAAAAGACGAGTTGAGTCTGACGAATTTGGAACTTCTTTGGACTTTGGAAATTCGGGTCCTTACTTTGTGTGAAAGATAAATAGGAGTTCTTGATTTGTGTAAGGTGGTCTTGCAAAATGAATTAATGGGGACCATTAAATATAATTTGAGTGGTCTGAATTACATGGTCCTTGAGCTCTAAATAGTGAGATTCAAAGAGAATATCTGTCACGAATTTGATCACGACATTTGTAAGACACTTTTACAACCCTTATTTTGATTTTATCAACCTCACGCCAAGCCAACTTGTCAAGACACATAAATAAGAAAAGTAGAAAATACCACATAAATAAGAGAAGTAGAAAATACCAAAAGTAAAAATCAAAATTAGTGTTGATGTTTTTTTGTTTTTACTTTTTAGTACATCGATATAATTACATGAAAAGGAAAAAGAGTTTAGCTAAGCCACATAATATACAATTTATTTGGCATCGAATTCACCATACATGAAATTCGAACATAAAAACTTTCGAATGAATAGAAGTGCTGTTAAATTACCGTTATTATTTTGCGGTTCTTTCACGTTACTTTCCCGTTTCCTAAATAAATTATTGAAAATTAAACAAGGTGTTCAAATAAAACCCTAAACAATCATATAAAAGCAATTAAACTCTTCATTCCCATTCTCTCCCCCCCCGGCCCTAAGAAGCTCTGAAAGACTGCAATTTTATTGAGCTTCTGGTACGAAATTCCGTTTTCCGCCATGTCCAGCTCACGGAAAGGGAAGGAGGGCGCAGAGGAAGGTGAACAGCAACATGGGCAGATCAGTAATAAGAAACGCAAAGAGATTTTCCCCTACGGAAACTACAAAAGTTACTACGGCTATCGGGTAATTAAAATCTCCTCCATTCCCCACAATTTTAACTTTTGAATGTTGTTATTGCTCTGATTGGTTGTCAGGGAAAGCTAAAACAAGTGAGAAAAAAAACAACTGAAGATTCGATTTGGTTGGGAGTTTCTCGGTTTTTTGTTATTTGGTTGTTTGAAGTAAATATTGAAGTGGGGTTTGTGTTTGATTGAGTTTAAGGGTGCCCAATTGGGTGTTTTGTCAAATTTGATTGAAATTATGGTATTATTTCGTTTGAAGTTTCTCGGGAATTGGTGTTCTTGGGTTTTGAATGCAGTGCATTTGTGAAGCTCTTGAGTGGTTGGATTGGTTTTATGGATACTGCTAGGATTTATTTCGAAAAATAGCGTAAGCTAAACTTCACCCATGATTCATTGTGGCCCAATTTTAAGTATTTGGGAGAGTTTAACTTAAAAAATTAACGGACAAGTTAAAATTTTGGGCATTGCATTGGTCTGTAATTGTTTAAACGTCTTGAAACTCGTTCTGTCGATAACAATGTGGAATCTCATTGCCTTGTATGGTGTTTTAGATTGGCCAAGAAATGGAGGAAGATGCTAGGTTGAAGGTTTTCAAGAAGGAATGGTTCGAAGGAAAGGATTGTCTTGACATTGGCTGCAATTCTGGAATCATGACCATTCAAATTGGTACTTTTCTCTCAGTTAAAATCATAATTGAAATTTATTTATGAGTTTGTTGATTATACTGTATTGTATCTATTCATCTTTCTAAACAAATGGTATTATTAAATCTTATATGGATAGAACTTGATAGTCTGAGTCGGGGAAAAATGTAGTGAATTTCTTGGTTTTGTCAAGTTTAGGGTGTTTTATAGTCGCGGGTTGATATGCTTTCTTTATGTATGTGGCTCTTGAATGTGTTTGTTCTCGCAGTGACATAGACATCTTTATGTGCTTATCTACAGCCAAAAAGTTTTGCTGCCAGAGCATTCTTGGTGTTGACATCGACGCCAGTAAGATTCTAATCATATCTCAGATTCTTATCGTCTCACTGAAGTTCAAATGTTTTTACGTTGTTCTCTAAATGTAGTCAGCATTTTATGTCAAATCTATTATGTTTCATAAGCTCTTGTTTGCATGGGATCTAGGATGCATAATTCTGTTATTATCTGAATGCAAACCATCACACTCAAACATATGCCTGCATGCACCGTGTTCACACACACACATGCGCATGAACATCCACAAATTTGTAAATGTATTCTATTCATTAGACATATCTCTACAAGCTCTTCTTAGTTTACTAGTGCAATATTCCCTTGATGCTAAATTTGTGTTCGACCATGCAGTAGCATGTATTGTAGGTGCCTACCACCTTGATCTTGAACTTGAAGGACATGGTTCAATGATGTGTCTTTATATGTGACATGACATCAGGCATAGTTTGACCTCATAGTTTGTCAAGACCTGATAAGATACCCATTTAAAAAAAATGAAAACTTCACTGGGTTGGGATGCAGTTTGGTGTCCAGCTTTGTGTTTGATCAGACAGATTTAATACTAGTTTTTATCTAATTATCCCATATCCTAGTCAATTCTGCAACTTTCTTTGTAGTTAATTAATGCAATTTTGTTTTCTTTCAGATCGAATTCAGGATGCATACTGGCACGCCAGAAAAATATTGAGATCGGAGAATGCTAGAAAGACACTTGGAAAGGCTTCTAAATTGGAGGGTGCAAGTGGCTCTTCTGAGGAGAAAGATCTGCTTGACACAGTATCTTTCCGAAAAGAAGATTTTGTTAACAGTCGGGATCCACACAAGAATCATTATGATACCATTATATGGTGAGCTTCGCCGCCTCTTTTTCTCAGTTATTCTAATATATTATGTTTGTTTCAGTCCTATTAAGGATATCAGTAATACGTGCAAACTTGCTATGATATGTGTAGGCCTTCAACTATATACATAAGAAAAGAAAATTTATGGTTATGCTCATTAATATGACTTAAAACTGCTCATCAAAATTTGTGACTAAAACTTTTGGGTAAACAGGTTTACCAAATATAACGTAGACCATCAAAGAAGTCGAAACTGGGTATGTCTATCCATAGGCCATCAAAGAGTTGTACTCTAAGGACAAGTACCTATCATGAGACAACCAGTGGAATCCACACTGGCCCGACAAATATCTAGAAAAAGCCATTATAGTTTCCCGGGTTTTTTTGTTTATGAACTCTAGCGAATGTGATTCCCATATCTGATAGCTGCATTGGGTTTCTATCTGTTTATTTTATGCAGATATTGCATCTTGATGCGTGCTTTTTTATATGCAGTTACATCCTCTCATTTGCAAGTTTAAACGTCACATTACTTATTGTGTTGCTTTGTTGTTAAATTTGTTTTTCTCCTCTAATACAGTTTGAGCGTGTCAAAATGGATTCATCTGAATTGGGGTGACGATGGATTGATTACATTATTTACAAGGGTTTGGAGTCTACTTCGCCCGGTAATTCTTATAACCATTGCTATTCCATCCTCATTTCATTTCATTATTCTTTTCTCCCCTGCTGTCAACTAAGCATGGAATTTTAGTTCAAAATAATCTTGATTTATAACTTTCCCTAGTTACATGATATCTTGGGGAAAAGTATGACGAATTTTTCTTCTTGTGAGCAGGGTGGAATTTTTGTGTTGGAACCTCAACCTTGGAAGTCCTACGAAAAGAATTATAGAGTTTCTGAGGTGATCGTTTCTCTTTTCAACATTTCTGAGTTTGTACCTAGTTAGTCACTACTAAATCATATACGAGTCAGAGACTTTTCTACATTGGTTATGTTTCTGACTTAAGTTTCATTGCTTAACTGGAATTGGGTCTAAAGAATTATTTGTTCCATTCTGCAGACAACTAGAGAAAATTATAGAAATCTTATGTTCTATCCGAAAGATTTTCAAGACTTACTTCTGGATAAGGTATGTTTAATCTTCTTAAAGTTCGACTTCAGATAGCTGTTTTACTGACTATCAGTCGAGATCTGGAAATATCTGATATCTAACATGATTACAGATAGGATTCAGAAAAGTGGAGGACATCGCTTCAAGCGTGTCGGGCAGCAAAACCGGATTCAACAGGCCAATTTTAGTGTTCCACAAATGAGTAATGCAGTTCCGGGAGCAGGATTGTTTGTTTCGTTTGAAAAGCCGTAATTTATGTACCAATTTTGACTGGGGTTTTTGTGTGCATGTGCTGCACAAGTTTTTGGTTGGGTTAATGTAAGATTCATACGACCAAATAGATGGAACATCTCCTGTCCCAATTTTGTATCTGCTCCTAGTATTTTGTACATACATTATAATGTATAAGTGCTCCCCAATTTTGAAGAATATTTTGTAGAATCCGATTGGACGGACAATTCTAGAAGTTTGTAGAATCCGATTGAATGGTACAATTCTAGAAGTTTATAAAATCCGATTGAATTTTATTTAGAGAATATTTTCTCATCCTTTCATGCTTTTGCCTTCGTAGTATAGAGACGATTGAAAGTTGACTAAATTCTTGAATCTGATCACTATCATGTTGCTTGCTGAAAAGCGCAACAATGCCCCTGACAAAAGTTCGTCAAGTGCACCCTACCGGCTTGAAGACACTTCGAAGTAAAACGTTGAGTGCTTCACGAAGCCCAAATCGTCGAAATTGGCATATCGGCAGCGGCATGGGTAGGAAGCCTATCCTGCGAACAATGGTAAAATCAGGACCCACCAAGTGGGAAAAATCACAGCCATGAGCGTGATTCCTTAGCTCCTAAGACATAAAACTTCAAGAACTAGGGACAGTATCCCTAAACTAAAAATCTCGTTAGCGTGTACGATTTCTTAGTCAACTTGGGAGATTGATTTTGCCCCACGTAATTGATCTTAAGGACACCACCCTGGTCCCTGACCCGAGGCAGCTACAAATTAAGCAGTCGGCCCTCAATAAGTTTTGAGCACCTAAAGAGAGTTGGAGACTGAGGATCAAACAATTCATTTTTCCTCCTATGAATATTTAATTAGCTTAGTTATTATGTACTTACGCAGTCACGTTGAAGATTTAAGTACGACGATCATATCATATTTCTTTTCACTTGTAAGTGAGATGTCTTAAGTTTGAATCTCACACTTGTAAGCGAGAACTATGTACAACATAGAATCCAAGCTTTGGGTTTTCTGTATCTTGTAACCAACACATTTTTAGTCACCATATGGAAAAACACTTGCACAAACCAAGGAACTAACTCAATGTTTCCGGAGATGCGTCCCCAAGATCTTCCTGCATACATACATTGCATATTTGACAATTTAATCGCCGTACATCGGCAACTTCAAAGATGTGCTAGAATCTTGCAGAACAAACCTGTTGCTAAAACACAACGGAGAGCACCCGGTTAACAATAATGCTTAAGACGATAGACGAGAGCATTAGCTGCAATTACAAAAGCAGCCAACCAAATGATGACTCAAGTATGAACCAATTGAATTACCATAAAGGTCACTTGGCTGAAGAGATGCGCTGGAGTGATTGAATCCAGCTACTCGAAGGACCTACTTTGTTGCCATGTCTATGGCCAGTGTTTGTAGCTTCAGTGGGCATATGAGGTTTCGTGGGGTTCCTTCTTGAGGCGCCGGAAAATGAAGTAGACGGAGGAGGGTATGCTTCATTCGCAATCTAAAAGGGGAAATTTTTATCCATGAGTTATATTCGGAACTAAATTTTGAACAATGTAACAGAGTAATGATAAATTCCATTTTATCTCAGTTTTTATTTGACAGTAATATGACTTACGCTCTTTTCAAGAGGATTGCTATAACTTAAATTCCTGCCTGTTGTTGGAGATTTAAATTGCATGCGGACACCAGAACCAGTGGGATTGCTTGATCTAATTCGATCTGTGGCCTCAGCTGGGTATGGAGCACTAGCACCACTTGCCACTGACAATTAACAAGGAAAATGTAATTTATTTAAAGCAACTGATATTGTATAGTTACATTAACCTCATATCTCCCATATATTGTCACGAGCAGTCAGTTATAAGATATGCAAAAGTCTATATGGAAGATCTAACCTTGATGACTATCTACACGTGCTGGCATTGCATGACTGCTGCTTCCTCCAGGAACCGGCTGAACATGTGGAGTTTCAGATTAGAAGTGCAGCAGTAACCCAATGTTCAAAGAGTCATACAACTAAAAAAATCTGAAAAGACTGAACAGCAATTGCACTTACGGAACCAGTCTTTTGTGACTGCTGGTACTTTATGATGGTCCAATCAAATACATAATCAAATTCATATCCTGCCATTTGGCAAACATCCAGACTATTGAATCCACATCAAAATAAAGCTCTAAAATGCTCAGAGAAGCATATGACATACATAGTTCATACATAACATACTTTATCATATGGGAATTTTAGGTAAATGGGAGATCAGATCAAACATATGTAAGTACATTGACTTCAAGCTAAGAGGGCCTATACAATGTGAAGAACTTATTTAGAACAAATGAAAGCACAAGAAAGTTTGAACACCACTACCTTCACGAGAAAACAAATCACGGAATAGGCGTTTCAAGAATCCGTAATCAGGTCGCTGATCAAATGTCAGTGAATGGCAGTAATGGAAATACGACGCGAACTCCACCGGGTGAGATTTGCATAGAACCTTTAGAAGACAGCAGTCAGACCAGTTGACACCAGATACAAATTTCAAAGTGCACATAGTACTTGACACACACCTCAATAGGGGTTGATAACTTCTTCTCACAAATTTTATCATATTTCTGCTTTTTTGTGTCAGCTTTTAAACCCTGCCACGGAAGGCTATAAGCAGGAAAAAGAAAATCATCAGGGGACAAGGCGGAAGAAAAATAAGATGGCATGAGCAATATATTATCGGGTCCTTTCTGACTGTATAAGTTTTTCAATTCCCTTCTACAAATTAAAAGTAAAAAATGGGTGTAAACAGACTATGTACCTTCCTCTGAGAAAATACAAAAGAACATATCCAAGAGACTCCAAATCATCCCGCCGACTTTGCTCTAAGAACAAAACAATAAATAAGGTTAATGAGTTGTGCCAACAGATTACAAGGTTCTAACACCGAGTAGCTTACCAATTCCAAGATGAGTATTGCAGCTTGCATAACGTGCAGTTCCTGTTAAGTTCTTATTCTCCCTGTATGAGGCAAGTGTTAACAATAGGAATATAAACCAGTACAATACTAAAAAGGTTGCATTTTATATTTCAATTGTTCCTCGAGCGTTTCAGCAGACAGAGAAGAAAATGAGAGATTGTCTTGATACGAAACTGGAAATACCTGTATGGGATGTGACGATTTGTTGTCGCGTCTCGATATCTTTTTGCAAGACCAAAATCAATTATGTAAACCTAATGAGATAAATGAAAAGAAGAGATTGATGACAATATAAACTGAAATACATCTTAAATGAAAAAAAAAGAAGACAGAGAAGATGCATCACCTGATTTGCTTTTCGACCAAGACCCATGAGGAAATTATCAGGTTTTATGTCTCTGTGTAGAAAACCTTTCGAGTGCGCAAACTCTATCCTCGTAATCTTGAATTAAAGAATCAAAAGAAAGAAATAATTATCAATTGATACGAGCACACATAAACATCGTATCATTCAGCGATACGAAGAATACAAATTACAAAAGTGAAAATAAATTTCATCACGAAAAATTGAAACTTTCAAAAGGAAAATAAGCTGAAAATAGTAAGGTGGCAACGCAGATTAATGATATGCCAATGAATGTAACGCATGAGCTGCGCTGTGTAAGCTCTACTTAAAATCCGTCACAATGTATTACCATTTGATCGGCTAGCATTAAGGCAGTCTTGAGTGAAAACTTTCTCCCACAATACACAAACAAATCCTCAAGACTCGGTCCCAGCAAATCGAGAACCAGCACATTGTCCTCGCCGTTAATTCCCGACCATTTTATGTTCGGAATACCGCCTAAACATTTACACACACACTCAATTAACAAAACAGTAATGCTCACAGAACACTAAACCAACATGTACTAAGAAAAAGTATACGTATTCGGAAACGTATACACCACGTACTTCCTCCTTGAAGGATTTTGTATAATTTCGCCTCGTAAAGCAGCTGCGGATGCTTTGTTTTACTGTTCTCCTGCATTTACCAGAAATTAAAATAAACTTAATCGCTTAAATTAACTAGTAATTAAACTAAAAAAATGCTTCTTCACTAATTAAGTACGTAAAAACTTCAAATTTGCTGACAATTGAACTGCATAAACATAAATCAAGTTTTAAAAAATCGGTAATTCCTACTGAAAATTGAAAAAAAAAAAAAAAACAGAGAGAGATAATAAGGAGCTTACAATCTTAACGGCGACGATCTCGAACGTATCGGTGTGGGTAGCTGCAGACGAAATTCAAATAATTTACAGAGATCAGCCACTGTTACTACGATCAACGGCTCAGATTCAAACCACAGCACTCACCTAGGAAGATTTCGCCGAACGATCCGCTGCCGATCTTGCGGCCGAGCTTGTACTTTCCGCCGATGACCCGCTCCATGCCCGATTCCCCCGGATCGGATCAGTCAACTCATAGAACTTCGGATTTTGGATCCGATTCGAAAACCCGAGAAATCGAGAAAAATCGAAAATTCAATATTCGAAAAATGGATTTTTATACGTTGGAACTGAGAAACTCAAGCCACACAGAGGCGAAGGCCCGACCAACAAGAGACAGATAGGTTCAGTCGTGGGGAGGATAAAGAGCGAAAGTAGAAGGGTAGTTTCGGAACTTTGAATTGTGGAGCCGTTGACTTGTTGACTTTGTACAGATTTATGTCGTAACGGATGAGGGTTCGGGGATTTGGTTTTTTGATTAAGGGTATTCTTGTCAACTAAGTTGCTTTACCGCCAAATGCGTCGGTGTCAGTTCCGTAAATAACGTGGTGGATGGCGGGTAAATGTGGGATTGAGGCCACGTGATACCCGCGCAGGTTTTGTTCCTCTGCTAGCGTTTAGTACGCTTTTGAAATGCGCGCTTTTCGGATGTACTTTTTCATGCCGGTTTGGGGCTTTGTTGTGATGGAAGCGTGGGTTTATGGGAGAAACACAGAAAGCGTCTGCAGGGGATTGCAGTTCAGCGCCGTCAAGGTCTTGTTTTACTGCCGAGTAGATTTGTTCACGTCAAAATCCGGCTCCACAACATGCAATAATAGTTGAGTTGGATTACAATGCTACCCTTGATTATGATTGGGGATACGAAGTGTGATGTAATCAGGGGAATAAAATTGTTTTGGTCAGCAAAAAATCTTTGAAACTAAAGTGCTTTGATTTGCGTTCACCTTTAATTTTAATTTAACAGAAAATTAAAATTTCTCATTTTTAAATAGCTAAATAAACTTAAGACAATGTTTGTTAACAAAAGTAAAGTATTTATGAGTAAAAATGTTTCCGATAGGATTAATTAGTTCTAAGTGGTATTTTTCTTTTACTATACGTAGTGTTCTCAAGTTCGACTCACATAAATAGTATTAAAATATTACGTTTATACTAAGTTCGATACTTAATTAGTGACTGATCATTGTGTAGTGCAATCTAATACTTATTATATTTTAACGGTAAAATATAATATCCTTGTATTAAAAATAGGAAACTTTAATGAAAAACTCCTGGTATTGTTCACTTTAATGAAAAACTATATTTTTACACTAAAAAGTCAATCATGATACTATTCACTTTACCCTTTATTTTGTCCTTATCGTTAAAACTCAAAGTTTTCTAGCATTTTTCATTAGTTTTTCTTTAAAAATAAGGACGGATTCATGACACTACTTTTCTTAAATATTTACATAGGTTTTCGTGGAGCTTAACTTCATAATGTATTTTAATGATCCGAACTGTCTATCTTTTAGGTATTTCCTCAAATATCATATCTACCAAAAATTAGCCAAATCTGAAAATCATATAATTAGATTAAGGGTTGGGTTTCTTTGTAGAAACATATTCGTCTATTTTTTTCACTATAAAAAAATGTCTATGGTTTTAGATCACCCAAATTTGAAATCATATGATTAGATTAAGGGTTGGTTTCTCTATAGAAATGTATTCATCTATTTTCTTTACTATAAATGAATGTCTGAATGGTTTTAGATTTGCCTAATTTTGTGTAAGAATGATATATGATAATGTTCTAAAAGATAGATGATTTGAATCATTAAAATATATTACAGAATAGGTTTTACAAAAATATGTGTAAAAAGTTATGTAAAAAAAAAAAAGTAATGCCACAAATTCACCTCATTAAAAATAAAATGCTTGATAGAGGTGCTTAGTAAAAATTGTTACATGTATAAGTTCTAAAACAACCGAAAGACCGAATTATTCAATACGCCATGGTTTTGCTCTATTTAGTACCGAATCTTACATCTCGTTTGATAAGCGGGATGATATTATGGGCTGGTTTGATATTGTTGTACTTTGAAAAAAAACTGTTTTCGTTGTTCTGTGAGAATAAGCAGCAGAGTGTTTGATAAACTTTTTTGTAAAAGTTTTTTTGAAAAAAAAAAAAAAAAGCAGTATTATAGTGTTTGGTAAACTTTTATGTAAAATAGATGTGAAAAAAGCCGATTTTTCAAAATTGGGTTTTACAGCTTCTTGTTTTTGGTTATTTTTCACCCAAAACTGTGAAAAAAAGCTAAAACTGAATGTTTACCAAACACAAAAACAGCTCCCAACTTTTTTCAGAATTATCTCAATACCAAGCCAAACCTATGTCTTAGGGATATAATTAGCTTGACATGGGCATACAAGACATAATTTCTAACTCATGATTATATATTAGATAATTCACTCTATTATGAATTCAAAATTTTCATTATTTTTTTTTTAATCAATTTTAATTAATTACAACTTATCTCATGGTCCTGTAAAACAGGGGCTGGATGTCATGTAGCTGCAACACAAAGCACAGACACACAGACAGATCAGATCAACGCCGATGATCGGAGAGGTCGAGAAGATGGTCGGAGTTGGCCTCGTTTGGGGCGCCACCAACGCCCTAATGCGCCGCGGCGCTCTCCTCTGGCACCAAGCCCTCAAATCCTCCTCTGCCCAGGCCCAGCCCGGCCCAATCCACCACAAGCTTCTTGCCTCCTTGATGAGCTGGCTCAAGCTCCTCGCAATCTGGCAGTACACAGTCCCCTTCTTCGTCAACCTCTCCGCCTCCGCCACTTTCTTCGCCATACTCAGCCACACTCCGATCTCGCTTGCGGTACCCGTCACCAATGCGACTACCTTCGCCGCCACCGCCGTGTTTGGCTTGCTCTTGGGGGAGCAGACCCACCTCGGTCTCGCTATGTTCGGTACGGCTTTGATTGTTTTGGGCATTTGGCTTTGTATCAATTAATCGGATTTTCAAGTTTTGTATAAATTCTATGCGTAGATCAGCTTGTTTCGTTCGATTACTGAATGCTTGAGTGTTTGGCTGCTGAGAAAATGATGGAAAATCCAGAGGAAAATTGTCATTTTAGTAATACTTGATTTTTCTCTGAAATTTTATTGATCAGAGGAACTGAAAAAGTAAGAGAATGAGACAAATGTGAATGATTGATTAACAATTTGAATTGCAAATTTTACTTATTGGGTTCATTTACTCTATGTTTCGGTTTGTATACATTTTAGGCTTATTTTTTTATATACCCGTATAACTCGATTTTAATCTCACTTTTCCTCTTGTAACTCAAGCTTCGTGTTGCCGGAATTGTCTATCTGTTAAATATCCGTTAAAATTACTTACGTTGCATTAGCATGCTTGATTTGTTTGATTAAAATCGAGTTCCGGGGCATAGTTAGCTTGATTTGTTTGGTTATTGATGTTTGAGTGTTTGGCTTCTGAGAAAAGAACGGAAAATCAAGAGGGCTTGATTTGTTTGGTTATTGATGTTTGAGTGTTTGGCTGCTGAGAAAAGAATGGAAAATCGAGAGGGCTTGATTTGTTTGGTTATTGATGTTTGAGTGTTTGGCTGCTGAGAAAAGAATGGAAAATCAATAGGGCTTGCTTTGTTTGGTTATTGATGTTTTGAGTGTTTGGCTGCTGAGAAAAGAATGGAAGATCAAGAGCAATTTGGTCATTTAATTGATACTTCTTTGTCTCAGAAAGTTGATCGCTTTATAGATCAGTGTAGCTGGAACACAAGTAAAAGAATGATACAAATGTGAGTGAATCATTAAAAAATAACAAAAATGGTAAATCTGTTTGAATTACAGCAGAATACAACATAATTGAAAAATCGAAACACAAAAAAACCACAACGAAATTTAATTGGCAGTCGTGAACGGGAAGAGGAAAGCCAATTAAGGCTGCAGAATCAGTCGTCTGGTTGAAACGGGATTCGGGTTTCTTTCTGTAGCTTGATTGCTTAGCCTTAAATCAGAATTGTTGTTTAGAACATTCAGATGGCATCTTTCCATTGAATCGTTTTGTGTCTTTGCAGTAGTCATAGATCATGTGGTTATGCCTGACCCACTGCAGCTGGCCGAGCTTACTGCTGTTCAGCTGGCTGTATATAGGGGAGGTCCACCAGTTAGCCCGGGAAGTGGCGGCACATGCACTAATGCTGGCGGCTCCATCCCACTTGCAGGCTCTTGCCCTGAAGTTTTTGAACCCGGCTGTGAAGGGTGCACCGGTCCAGTTTATCTTCTCTAGCCCACCTCTAGTTGCCCAGTTATCAGCATTCCATAAGCTGGAGTAAACCCTCATCCCTTGCTTGTTGGGGTAGGCAATCCCCTGGTTCTCGTAGTTTCGGAAAACACGAATGGGCAAACTATCGACGTACCACCTGAAATCATAAAAGTGGATTGAAGTTTACAAGTTGTTTGGTTGCACGACTCGTAGAACAAAAGATGATTCCTTTTCACCCTGTTAAGATTGAAAGCAAAGTTAGCTTACACAATTTCAGTAGGGTTCCAATGTATGGTGTAGTTGTGGAAATCAGCGGTCGGGTCAAACCAGAGGTAAAATTGCTGCTCTTTGGTTCCATTTCCTTGTGTATATATGTTTGTGTGGACAATGTAAGGTTGTCCAGAAACGTTCCCTAGGAATTCAAAATCTATCTCATCGTGTTTGGGTCCTGTTGACGATAGCTGCACAAATTCGAGTATGAACAAATTAGCACGCGTTAGTTTACTATGTATCTCGCTCGGGTTTTTTCCGTGTTTTTAGCTTGCTTCAGGTAGTGACTTACATAGTAGGCGGTCACTATCCCGGCGGAATTCCCAGGTACCAACTTAATCAGCATCTCGATGCTTCCGAATAAGAAACCTCTCTTTGACATTGCAGCAGACCCTGCAAAGCAAAGGCAGTATTGACGTAGTCTGGTTAGAGGAGACATTTCATCGATGGATACTATTCTACGAACATATTAGTTAGAATTCTAGTGCAAAACATGATTAATGCCACATCAGGGATGGACTAACGCGTTATAAACAAACTAATTAATCGTCTAATCCAAGTTCTTACAGATGCACACACGTAGATCACAAGAAATCGAAAGAGTTAGAAGTAGTTGTAACCTGAAGTTTGATCGAGCACGAGCTTAAGATTCTCGCCTTGAATCGTAGCGTGTTGGGTACCCCAGGTGAGGTACATGCTCTTCGAAGCTTTTGCATCGGCTAAATTTCGATGGAACGCAGTGATGCACAGAGCTACCAGAAATGCTTGCAAAACTAGTGCCATTTCAACTTCTTCAGTCCCAACTAAATTTTCCTCTTTTTCTAGGACAACAATTTGTTTGTCGAAACGGGATGCGTCTTGCTCAATTTGGATTGTTGATGGCTTTATATAACTTTCTATTTTGCAGTGTGCAAAATATTCTCTCCTACCACTACGGCATAGCTTTTGACATTCCTATTTTAGAAAAAAAAAAAGCGCGTTGAAGCATGCTCCTCAAAACTTACAAATTATACTGCAAATAATTTATTTATTTATTTTTATTCAAGCGATGTTCTAATATAATTTTACCAAAGAGGGGAATTCGAACTTGGATATAGAGGAGAGCACATTGTTGAACTATTTTAGCAGGATGTACAAAGTTCAAGATTTTGAAAAAGAAAGTAGATGTGGTGGTAGAGTTTGATGGAAGAATGAACAATGTTTTTTTTGTTTATGTCGTATGTTTGAATTTAATGTTTAGTGGAAAGAGGAGAAGAAGTTTTAGACACAATTAATACTTAGATATATTTAGGTGTAAAATTAGTCCACAAGGCATCCATTGAATGGAAAAGGCAAGTGAGAAAAGGCAAATGGGGAAGGTAACTAACATTCCTCTTTCTCATATATCTATAATGTAAAAATTAACATAAAATTAAAGACTCAATGATTACAAACGCTAAAATTATTGATTAATAAGTTGAATGCTAATTTTTTTTTTTGAACAAACTATACAATCTACATTAAAATGGAGGAGAGTGGGCTTAGTTTCACAATGAGCTAGCAATAATGCGGTTCAAATTCGTTTTTGGCGAGAAAATCGAATCTAAGATCTCTCATTTACAAATAAAAATAAATACCATTAAACCGTAATACTGAGTGAGAACTTGAATGCTAATTATTTGTTCATTGCCAATATGTTCGTGGGGTCGTGGTGCAAATGTCATAGATGTTGTAAGGGTAGGAGAGAACGGGTGTCATTAGCTGGGACGCGGTGCGATTATGAATTTACGGGAAAATAGTGCCTGGACTTATGCAAGTATAGCTACTAGCTAGTGTGGACTGCTGGGCTGGCCAGCTGTGAAATGACGAGTTCATGATTTGCTTGGCCGGACGTGCACCCCTGCAGAGAGGTTTTCGTACAAAGTTCTCAACTATATATATGTATGGTGCTTCCAAGGTTGGTTCAAAGAGTTCAATCAAATAGTTCCCTCTAGTCGGGTTGAGCCTGCATTAACCTAACGGCTTTGGCGCCCGTTGTGAGCGGCAAAAGAAAGATGATTCGAATGTGAAACCTCTTTCAGCATTTTAATTGCCATATCCATTTTCTCAAACTATTATGTCAAATGTCATCAACTCTTTTTTTCTTTTCGGTTATAATCTAAGGGTAATCTATATTTTAGTTTCCACGCAATCGAATTAATCATTCACATTAATCAGGGATGAGCAAAATAAATGTAGATACTAGCAGTAATGCGACCCATTAAAATTGATAGTTAAGAATACATGTTTATCAGTTAGGGTTATATGTACCCGTTTAACCTTAATAGACAAAAGTGCTACTCTTACCACATAGTTGTACCATTATTTGTACTATCTCTCTAATAAAGATGAGGCCCACATGCATTGACTTGTTTTACCTCTATTAAAGAGATTATACAAATAGGTGGTGACTGGTGAGTGTAGCACTACCTATTTGGGAGCGGAACTTCCCGAAGTAGTTTTTGATATTTTGTTTGAGGATAGCTGTACTATTTAACTTTTTTGGTGTGAAACACTCTTTTTCCCTTTATCTGGGTTGAAATTTCTAACAATTTTTATTTATTTATCAAGGTCCATTGTTAGCACCTATCCTTTTTTTTCTGTACGTATTCCCTCTTATTCAGTGAGATATCGTACTTGAACTAAAAAAAATAGATGATGAATGTAACAATATTCCTTAATATATAAATGGACGGTCACGAGTAATATTCACTAACACCCGTGGGCTGCGGGCAAACAAAACTTACCATGCATTTTTGTTTTGGTGACCAAAAGGGTTCGAAGAAAATAGAGATAAAAGATTTGAAATCGCTTTTTGTTTTACATTTTCAAAGGTGATGTATAAGGAAAATGGTGATTAAACTAGGAATAAAAATGGTGAATATGTTGCGCTAATCGACAGGTTTAACTCAGTCTAGTAAATACCAAGAACTATAAAAATAACACCAATTTGTCCCCTTCAAATAAAATTTTTTGTTGGACTAGAATGCATCATATTGAGTCATTCAAAAGTTCACATCATTGTTCGGGTCAATACTGTCTTTATCCCAAATGAATCTGTACATACTTCAAGGTTTGTTTATGTTCAACGCACATCAATCAAAGTTAAAATAACAAAGAAAAGAAAAGAGAAAGATATCATGGTATAATTAAATTATTAATTAATTATTTAATTGATTTTGATTTAATTAAACATGAATGAACGGCGGGTGAACATGAAGCTAGCTAATTAAGCCAGACCAAATTAATTACCTAATCTGCACCCACATTCCCACGCTAGGCACACCACGATAGACCACAAAAACCAGGTAGTACCCTGGAGGAGCGAACACGCTCGAAGGCGGCGCCACCGCTTGAAGCATGTAAACATCCGGTGCCACATCCTTCAGGTCATTCTTTCCCAGAATAAGCAACCTCTGATTCATCGAGTACCCGTGAGTCGTGAAAGGCGGCGCGTACATTGTCAACTTGATGTCTGCCTTGGTCACGGGTTTGTCTTGGAGCTGAAACTGGACGTTGAATGGCTGGCCGTACTTCAACTTGATGCCGGAGTTCTGGACCATGATGGCAGGGCGGTGGACAGCCAATGCCGGGTCCAGGTAAGGTGGCGAGAAGTGCTCGACTCTCAGCTCGGTTGGGTACTTGGCCTTGAAGTCATAGCCTGGGTTGGTGTTGCTGCCTGCTACAAGGATTTTTCCATTAGGGAGGAGTGCGGAGGTTGAGTGGTACATTCTTGCAATCTGGGTCGGTTGCAGGTTCCTGAATCGGGTTCCTGGTTTGTTGTTGGGACTGTAGAGCACAGGAGTGAAGTTGGGCTGCTCTGCCAGAAACCATGCTGACGCACCTGTTGAAAAAAATTAGGGTTACAAATTGCTGTATTTTTTGCACCACTAATTATTATCGTTCTTTTGTCATTTATGTTACTTGACACAATAGAAATTTTAGAATATCTTCCTTAGTTTTGGATTAGATTTTGATGATCGCTCTTAGGGTACAAGTAAATTGGTATAAGGACTACATGTATGTTTAGGGTTTTTTGAGACTGCTTCTGGAAAAATGAAAGGATCTTTAGCTCATACAAGCAGTCTCCTCAATTGCGATTTCAAAAAACACTTAAATTTTAATAAATTTTGAAAATGATTCTAAGATCATCTCCAACCCTTGGGAATAAAGTTTAAAAATTTAAGTTAAAAATTTTTAAATCATAACCCAGAAACTGTTTTTCTCCTCCAATTCTTACGGCTTTAAAATTTTAGCACGAGATTATTAAATAATGATTTTAGTCTCTTTTTTTTTGTCGGTAACTTTTTTAAAAATAAAATTATGTAGATTATCCTAATTTATTTTTACGAACATTTTAATCTAAAAATATTTAAATTCTTATAAGTAATAAAAATCATACAAATGCATAGGTATTTATAAAGTTTCAAGTTAAATTTGATTAAGACGTTAGATTTAATTTTGGGCCGTCATTTTTTTTTTTTTTACCATTAAATTTGAACTCATCTGATCATAACCGTTAGATTAGAAGTAAAAAACAAAAAAAAAATTTTAAATATGACAGTTTGGTGGGTTCAAAATAATTTAAATCAAACTTAAATCCTAAGGAGAATTTAGAAGTGATTCCAGAATCCAAACAAGCCAATATTATCAGAATAACTTACCGCTAATCAAATAGACATAAATCAAAATCTAATTTAACATCCGAACTTAATCAAGAAAACCATTTTAATTACCAAGCCTAGGGAAAATAAAGTTCAGAAAAACCTTTACGAGATTGAGGCAAGGCAAGCATATACCTTGTTGGGCACCGTTAATAATCAAGAGGTCTCCGGTGGGGAGAATAAGCATATCTCCCATGACACGGCGAGAGGGCATGTTTTCCTTAACCCACTTAGGATTAGGGTCTGTAATCCTAAGCCTGGCACAATCTTGCAAGGCTGGAAGGAACTTCTGCTTGCCGGCAAGCCCATAAGCCTCGGGTTTCGCACCACCGCAAACAATGACCTCAGCCGGGATGAGCTGAGGGTTGGGGACACTGAGGTCAATCGGCAGCAGGGCTGACATCCCTGATGCTGGGTAGTTTCGCGATCCACCACCCAACACCTGGAACTCTTTGATGACTTCGTTGGTCTGAGGGTTGAGCAGGACGGAGCGGCGGTTGGCGAGGATGAAGAGGTTGCCATCTGTCGAAACGTGGACGAAAGGGTAGAGGTTGTTTTCGTCTAGGTCGGTGGTTTCGTCGAGCAGTGGGAAGAAGATGGCTTGCTTGTTGACTTGTCCTTCCGGTGGAACGTACTCAAAGCTGTATGACTTGCGGCCACCGGCTATAAAGAATCTACCGTCAGGTAGGGTTACTTGTGTTGCATACCTATGATTTAAACAACAAAAATCTTAATTAACACAAGTTTATAAATAAACGTTTGTTTGAAAATCTTTATTTAAATTAATGTATATGTACCATCTTGGTTCGGCCAACACGTTGGGGAGATCCCTAAAGTCACACGTGGGGCATGCGTCGAAGTATCTAACAGCTCTAGTTCCATCCATCCAACCACCGGTGCTTATAAAGTTACCGTCAGCCGTCAGCCCTCCTGATGAGCACCATGGGTCTGTAACGACCTGTTTATAGATCACCACCGTCACTGTAGCCCGTAATTGGAAATAGATTCGTAAAACATGAAAAACTCAACCGTATTTTTGAACATTCGCATGCAAATGTGCATGGACTGTATATCAACGTAAGCATGCGAACAGTCATGGAATGTATAGCAACATAAGCATGCAAACATTCATGGACGGTATAGCAACATAAAATGCTTATACATGATCAAGATTCACAATTAACAAAC